CCCCCCCCCCCCAGAGACTCCCACCATCAGGAAACAGAGCTGGGATTCAAGTTAGGATGCAAATGTGTTAAGAGTCAAACCTTTATCCTTAATGCTCCTACGGGTTTAGCATGAGGATTTGAAGGGATGCAGCTATCTCCAGATTAAAGATATTTTTCTTATTTCAAACACAGAATCCCTCCACTTAGTCATCAAAATCACCATGAACCAAAATACACGTAGAGTGAAGCATTTTTACATCTGCATCTAGAAATTTGGATTTGCTTTGGGTCGTGTGTTCGCAGACAGAGCGCGCAGCAGACGCCGTCCAGCCAGGGCGGGGTCTGCAGTCACAAGAGAAGCGGCTCGGCCGCCGTCCCCCAGCCTCACGCGGCCCTTCCTCCCCTCCCTTGCCCCTCCTCCCACCCGACCCCGCAGCCGGGCCCGCCGGGCCCTCAGCGTGGACCAGACTTCCAAGGCTGTGAGTCTGACATTGGATGGGAGTAGCATCGTGGCCTTCCCGGCTTGTCAGCCCCCTCCTTGTGCATTCCACAAGTGAGGAAACTGAGGCGACGGGAGTTTCCGTAGATCCGTCGCTTGGCCAGCACTGGCAGAGCCTCCTTCCCACATGCATGCCTCTTGCCCCAGCCCCGGGACCTCTGGGCTGGGTCCTGCTCACGGTGCAGGGCATCAGCTGGGTGCCCCTAGGCTGGTACCCAGGAGGCCACGCTCAGTCTCTCGGTTCTGGTCCCCGGCCCCGCGGGCTCGGAAGCGCTGGCTGTGTTGGATTTGTCGGCACGGACGGCTGACCCCTGTCTTTTGGGGGCAGACATGTCAAACCAGCTCGGGAGGCAGTTCCCACGGCTCCGGCCGGGATGCCAGCTCACGGGCGTACAGTAGGTGACGTCACACCAACGCGGGGCAGTGCCCCCGTCTCCAGGGTCAGTGCGTTCTCCCCCCATCAGCCACCTACGAGGGAAGTCAGGCTGTAATGAGAAGACTGCTCCCAAGACAGAATCACAACAAATTAAGCACATTAATACAGGCAAGTGATAGGCCCAAGCTCATGACCTGACAAGGGCTCCGTGAGCGTCAGCTGCCCGGGCACTGGTGACGCTTGCTGTGTTCGTGGTTATGCAGACCTTGAATAGCCTCTGCTGGGGTGCAGTCCCTCCACGCCAGAAGCCACGGGGACGTCCCGCTCCGCTTACCTTCCCACCGATCACCTCTCTTTAGATATGTTGGTGAGACCATCAGGGTAGCCTTTCCCTCTGCAGGGTAACTTTGCGTCCTCGGCTCTGCTCCTGTCCACGTGGGTGCTTCCCTGCTACCCTGTCTGGAGGGTGTGTAGTGGGGGGCGGGCATGGGGGCCCCGGCACCCTCGCTGCGGATTTTACCGGAAGTTTGATGTTGTCTTCCTGACACCGGATCCCAGGTCCGAGGTTAAAGCTCTGCCTCTTTGGGAGTGATTCCAATTCTTAAGCCCGCATCCGCCTGAGAAGCACGTTCCTCTGGAGGGTGGGGTGGGCTCCCGGAGGGAGACCACAGGCTTCATCCTGTCCCTGGATCCCAGGGATACTCGCGAAGCCCTTAAAGATGTAGGCTGGGGGCTTCCCTGGTGGCGCAGTGGTTGGGAGTCCGCCTGCCGATGCGGGGGACACGGGTTCGTGCCCCGGTCCGGGAAGATCCCACATGCCGCGGAGCGGCTGGGCCCGTGAGCCATGGCCGCTGAGCCTGCGCGTCCGGAGCCTGTGCTCCGCAGCGGGAGAGGCCACAGCAGTGAGAGGCCCGCGTACCGCAAAAAAAAAAAAGATGTAGGCTGGGCTCATGAGTGACCATTCAGCGGTTCTCCAGGGAACCCTTGCCCGATGCTCTGAAGTCACAGAATGCCACGTGTATCTCTGTGGATTTGATATTTAAAAGAGCAGGAGGCCGGCCCGAGCCTGGAGAGGAGGACTGTCTTACTGGCCAGCACAGCAGAGAAAACTGCAACTAAAACCCACACACACATCAAAGCCACCTGGAGTTAGTTTTGTGAGGTTTCTGGGGGAGAGGGGAGTGGGAATATGCCATCCCCCTCGTCTGCTTCTAGATATATTAATAAAATCTATCCCATAAGTATACAATATGCCTTTTTTACTTTTTTCTGGTCAAAATCATTGCATGTTAAAGAAATAAATGGAGAGGCTGAAAGGAAATAAAAGGGGCAGTGAGGACATAAAAAGAAAGATGGAAAGAAAAACAACTGAGAGAGAAGAGAAGTCAAAGGTAGCGAAGGAGGGGCTTCCCTGGCGGCGCAGTGGTTGAGAGTCCGCCTGCCGATGCAGGGGACACGGGTTCGTGCCCCGGTCCGGGAAGATCCCACGTGCCGCGGAGCGGCTGGGCCCGTGAGCCATGGCCGCTGAGCCTGCGCGTCCGGAGCCTGTGCTCCGCAACGGGAGAGGCCACGGCAGTGAGAGGCCCGCGTACGGCAAAAAAATAAATAAAAAGGTAGCGAAGGAGGAGGGACAAGCAAGGGAGGAGGAAAGTGACCTGCTCTGAGCTGATGCCCCCAGTGAGGCTTCTCCCCACTTGTTTCCTCCACGTCTTCCCCAAGCTCCCCACACTCACTTCTGGGACCTCTTCTGGTTCCCCACCTGCCGATGGCTGGTGCTTTGCCGCGTCGCTCTTACGGGCCCTGTCATCTTGTGTTGTGAACACGCGTCTCTGTGAGGGTCTCTCGGGCACAGGGCGTGACCTTCACGCATCCCTAGCGCAGGTGGCGGTGCCCGTGCCCAGGAAGGTCTGTGCCCCGAGGGTCCACAGGCAGTGAGAGCAGAGCGGGCCTGGGCTCCCCGGGCCCCTGCCCGCATGAGACAGGAAACGCCCCTGGACTTTGGAGAAGGTGACCAGAGAGGTTGGCCCCTCGCCACTTCCAGGAGAGGCCCGGCCTCTGCTGTCTGCCACAGTCCACACGCCAGGAACAGTCCCGCCACCTTGCTCTCGGGCACAGAACATTCCTCCCTGAATTGCTCACTCCTTTGACAGACTCGTCCCCTCCACATTCGGTGTCTCGTAACAGCTGGGGAGGTGGGTCACGGGAGCCTGAAGGAGGAGGGTCGTCACGGTGATTAGTCTGCAGGGCACTCAGGGTCCGCAGAGCACCCTCCCGTTCGATCTGGACCCGGAGCGCTCTCTCCCCACCCCTGTCCTCCCCTCCTCGCTCAGCACCTCCACGGCACCCTCCAGAGAAGGTCGGGTCCTCAGTCGACCCCGTGGAAGGTGTGTGGCCATGGGCTGCAGGCCCCCATCCCCCTCTGCATGGCACTGAGCACCTTCTCACGGCCGTAGAGCTGAAGCATTTACTGTGTCCATCATCCATTCAGTCTCCCCGCTGAATGCCAAGGTCCACAATGCCGTTCTGTTCGCTGATGTACACCAAGCATGTAGGCCAGCGCCTGCACTTAACTGACCAGATTTTGAGTGGGTACGTGAACTTGGGCTGCATTTTGCCTGTTTGGGTCTCGCCACTGTGAAGTTCGTTTGCTCTGAACTCATGTTCTGTTCTGTGTTGGTCTGCAGTTCGAGATGCTCACGGGGTCACTGCCATTCCAGGGGAAGGACAGGAAGGAGACCATGGCCCTCATCCTCAAGTGAGTAAAACACCCACCTTGGGACCCACCCCAATACGTGTTAGCACCTTCTGATATCAAGAGCTTCGGTCTTCAAAACCGGGACTGTTCAGTAGGCAATAACGGTAATGAGCATTCTTGGCATTTTCATGTCAGTGGGTGAAGCCAGTGGCATCTCTCAGTGATTCTGATGAAATCTCCTACCAAAGATAAAGTTTTCCATCAGTAAAAATCATCTAAGTTGTCCAACGGCAAGGTCTTTAGACATGATGGTTGGTGACCTTCAAAAGTGCAGGTTCGGGGGCAGAGGGCCGCAGGGGCTCCTGAGAGAGCCTTCCCTCCTCTGCCTGTTGACCCGTTCGTGCACGTGCCTGAGCTCTCCTGCCTGACATCAGCAGGGATCATACGGCCCGAT